TCAAGTTTCTTGAGTTGACTATAATATTCTAAGTGGATTGTTTCAGGTAACCGAATTTCTGTGAATGAGAAGTGATAGGAAAGCCATTACAGAGTAAATGCTGGGAAAATGGTAGAGACAGATGTCAGGAGTTTTACTGATGCAGGGTTTTTCAAAGGAGCAAGGAGAGCTGTGATCTCAAATAGTAAGGAATTCTGGCAGCACACTAACCCCTCCTGCAGGGCTATCTACAGGATAAGAGGAAAATGTCACCACCTGAACATGCTGTTGAGAAAAAAGAGTCCACAAGGGACAGCCTCTAGAGTCATTGTTTGGATTCAGTATTTATGCTTCTTATACCCTAAAACTGTTGATGGAAAATAAATGACAATAACAACTTCTATACTCATATTTGAGGAAGTATAGTGTTAGAGTGTGTACAGTTGGAAACTGTGTTGTAATTCTAAGGAAATTGAGGAAGAAAGAGAAACTACTAATATAATGAACTTCATAGTTTTTCCACATTTGAAAAAAAGTAGGAAGCATATCATACCCACAACATTACACACACATACACATAAATAAATTTATTAATTAAAAGAACAACTCTTTTATACTTTCTTACATATGTGAATACAAACATTGGTGTTTGTTTTATATGGATAAGACAAAGATATGGACTTAGAGTTAATGACAGTTGAGTTTTTTTACTTAACAATGCTAACATCAGAATGTTTGTTCTGAAATCTTAACTTCCAGGGTAAAGGTATTAAGTGGGCGGATGGGGCAGGGAAGGAGTAGACTAGATCAAGAAGGTGAGCACCTCAGTAATGCAAGTAGTGCCTCTATAAAATAGAGCCTAAGGAGACTATTTTCCCCTTTCACTATGTAAGGACACAGAGAGGAGGCACCAACTATGAGAGATGGGATCTCACCACACGCGGAATCTGTTAGTACCTTACCTTTTCAGAACTGTCTGAAATAAATATTTGTTGTTAGTAAACCACCTGGACTATGATATTTCGTTATAAAAGCCAAAATTGACTGAGAAAATATCTTCAGACAAGGACTCAGTGCAAAAATCTCATTTGCAAAATGAGGTCCACATTTGTAGAAAACAGGGTGATGAGTCAAGAAGGGAAAGACACTCAGCCAAAGGGGTGACAGCAAGATATCACCCACTGCAATGCACTGTCCGAGGAAAAGGTGCTCCAATAGGACCCAAAGTGCTAATCATATGCAAAACCCTCTCACACAGTATCCAATGCATTAAAACTACCATTGAGAAATGGGTTCTAATAACTGAGATACCATAGATTTTAGCGTGCTATATATTATTTTTATTTGTTATAAACTATAGACTCTTATTGGCCATTGGCTGGCAAATAATATGTATAACAAATTCCACTTAAAAGAAATAGCAAAAATTTATACTGCACTGGTAACAGGCAAAACCAGATAGAGTTCTGTGTACGAAACTTTTAACCAAATCACCAGATGTCCAAGAAGAAATTGTCCGTGTGCACAGCACCTTCAGGAGAGGAGTAGTTCTGCCGGGCAGCAACGTGCTGGAGATGGTACGACTCAACAAGGGCAACACGGGTGATGGCAACAGGAAGTTCTGTGTACTTTATTTTTAAGATTTATTTTGTTTATTTGAAAGAGTTACAGAGAGAGGAACAGTCAATGAGAGAGAGGTCTTCCATTCCGCTAGCTCACTCCCCAAACGACTGCAATGGACAGAACTGAGCTGATCCGAAGCCAGGAGCCAGGAGCTTCCTCCTGGTCTCCCATGTGGGTCCAGGGGCCCAAGGACTTAAGCCATCCTCCACTGCTTTCTCAGGCCATAGCAGAAAGGGGGATCGGAAGTGGAGCAGCTGGGACTCGAACCGGTGCCCATATGGGATGCCAGCATTGCAGACTAGGGTTTTAACCCACTGTGTAATAGTACACCGGCCCCAGTGTACTATTAATATAATAAAAGTTGGATGGTCACAACAGAGCTACAACACAGCAGTAGAAGAAACCGAGACCCATGAAAGTGACTTTCCCACAATCATACAGTCAGAAACTGACAAAGCAACAATTCTGGCTCAGGCGGTCTAGTTCATCTGAAGTGCCCTGGGGCAGTGCTTCTCAAACTGCATGTGTTTGGGAAGCACAGGAAGGATTATATGTGTGGCAGTTTCCTGGACCCCATTGTCTAAGGACCCCGGTTCAGGTCCCAGCCTGGGTAGCTGCTGATAGCACACACAGCAAAAATTAACAAGTTATCCAGGCATTTCATAGCTGTCCTCATAGCCAGTAACCCAGAGGCTAAGCCACTCATCTGAGAATTCAGATGAGCAGATTCTAACCTGATTGGTTCTTCTAGGTAAGCAAATAGTGGCATGCCTCTTCACTAGGGCCTGCATTCCATAAAACATCAGATAAATTATCTTTCCACTGGAAACCTGGGGTGCTCTTCCACACTGCATATTTAGGGAAGACCCAGGCAGGCATTTGAGTGATAAGTCTCATATTTATTATCCAGCATTAGCATTCAGGTGTTTGGTTAACCTCAGCCTGCTTCCATGAATCTTGGACTGGTCCCCAGGAGCAAGGGTCAGAAATAGCGCAAGCTCTGCAGGAGATTCCCTTAGATGACGTTCTCTTAAAGGATGGAGAGGAGAAAGCAAGGAAGTGGAAAATGAGGTTTTTAAATTTGTTATTGAAATTTTTTCTTTTTAACATATTTCAAATAAAAAATAGGAAGAAGAGGTCAATAGATAGTCACATTTGATAATTTTTAACAATTTGATAATTTTTACAAATTTTGCATATTTGCTTCATATGTAAGCATACACACACATACTTTTTTGAAAGCTTTAGTGGATGCATTAAAATCACATAACATGGAATTCATGAAAAAGATCTTAAAATGAGGAAGAAAGGATATGTTATTCTTCAAGAGGTATAATTAGATGAAGACAACATTTGTAAGTACTTACATTTCATGCCAGCACTGTGGAGTAGCAGGTTAAGCCTCTGCCTGCAGCACTGGCATCCCATACGGGCACTGGTTCGAGTCCCAGCTGCCAGCTCTCTGTTAATGAGCCTGAGAAAGCTGCAGCAGAAGGCCCAAGTGTTTGGGTCCCTGCAGTCATGTCGGACATCTGGATGAAGCTCCTGGCTCCTTGCTTCAGTCTGACCCAGCCCTGGCTGTTGCGACCATTTGGGGAGTGAACCAGCAGATGGAAGACTTCTCTCTCTCTCTCTGCTTCTGCCTCATCCTCACTATAACTCTGGCTTTCAAATAAATAAATAAATCTTAAAAAAAAAAAAGGTACCTACATATCAAAAATGGCATCCAGTTCAGTAGTTAAGATTCCACTTGGGACATTCCCATCACAAATTGGAGTGCCAGGATCTGAGTTTTGGCTTTACTTCCTATCAGTACACACCCTGGGAGACAGTGTAGATGGCTCAGTTAGTTGGGTCCCTGCTATGCATGAGGGAGACTGCTGGAATTCTCAGCTCCTGGCTTTGCCCTGGCTCATTCCCAGTTGTTGCAGGTATTTGGAGAATGAAACAGCTGATGCAAGATCTCGCTCTCGCTCTCTCTCCCCCCTTCCTTTCTGCCTTCCTCCTCCCTCCCCTCACCTGCCTTTCAAAGAACTGGAAAAGTTATAAAGAACTTAAAGAGAAAAGTGATTTTGAAAATTGTCTCTTAGTTGCCTTATAATACAAGAAGGTACTTGAATAAAACAATAAAGCTAATAGCTTTGATAGGGATTCTCGTGCTATGAGTATTGTCAGTTATGTATATATGGTGCTTATTAATGACAGAGGTTCTTCTACTTCCTTGTTATATCAACTTATTTCTTTCTCCCAATAACCCTGTGAACTGTGTAGCACTACTATACCCATTTAACAGATGATAACACCAAGATTCGGGCAATTTAGCATTTCAAAATTCCTAACTGCTGGAGCTCAGATCCAAAATCTATCAGGCCAGCTCCTGAGATCCTGCTCGTAATCACCTGCTTCCCTTCGGCAGACGAGGTTTGAACTCCCGCCAAATGAGCAAGTCAGTGCAGCCAGTTGCTGACAACACAGCTGAAAACTATATGAAAAATACAGCCTCTGCTTTCAGAGAACTTCTGATTGCAGAATTAAGGCAGAAATAAAAGAAACAATAGAAAATTATGTAATAATGAATATATATTCAAGTGCTAAGGTGTGAAGACATGCTATGTTAACAAAAAATATTAAATATACCAGTAAAATTGAATAATATTTCAAAGGCAACATGAAAATGTAGAAAGTTTATGATAAGCTTTTCTTAAAATTGGTGTTGATTTGTTTGTGGTACAGTAAGGGTTACATACACAGAGGAGAGTTCCCTTCTACTGATTCCCACCCCAAATGCCCCCAAGTGCTGACATATTGCTGAAGCCCTGGAGCTGACCACTAAGTCTAGGTCTCCCATGGAGGTGGCAGGAACCCACCTACTCAAGTCATCACCTCTGCCTCCCAGGATGTGCCTTATCAGGAAGCTGAAATCAGGCGACGCAGCTGGGCATTGGACCAATAGACTCTGGTGTGGGACATGGACATCCTAACCAGTGGCTTAATCACTAATCCAAACGCCTGCCCCAGTAAGCTGTCTTATAAGCAAATTCCTGTATGAGGCAAAACTGAAAGAATTACAGTGGGATGAAGAGCCAAACACAACTGCTGGAAGAATGTTTGAAAAAAGAAGAAAAAGAATATCTGTACATACAGTGCGACCCTGATTCAGTGCAAAGCCAGTCTTCATAACATTGCTGCAACGGTCATGCATACTTATGTGTGACTTTAACTGGGTGCATGCCATAGAAGGAAATACCTTACCCACATTAGTCAGAGGCAGTGTCCTAGACAGCTTCCTCAAAGTGGTCTGCACTGCAGACTGTGTATACCACGTGTTGCAGGTATAGTTTCCGCCAATCACATAAGCAGACCGTGGGGTGGAGACGGGGAGGATGTCTGCTGCTGCACCTACCTGTAGGGGCAGAGCAGGAGGAAGCCCAGGGAGAAACTGGTCTGTGATGCAATCACGGTGCAAGCCGCGGCTTATCCCATGGAAAGCTATAACAGTAGGGCTGTTCTGAGTTGCCCTGAGCCGTAGAACAGCAGCCTGACCTCTGCATTCTACAGCTCTGGAATGTCGGCTGGCCAGGTAAGGGGCTGTATCCTTACACTAGCGCCATTTTCAGGGAGGACAACAGAGCAAGATGTCTGTGGAGGAGACTCCGACCTGCCGGGAGAGTACGTCCTTCCATGCGGAAAGAGACCGCCGCTCTCACTGCAAGTAGTCAGCTGTGGTTTAGCTAGACATGCTCCAGTTTGCAGTATTGGGTAACCCGGTCATAGCAGTCAAATTTTCTTTACCAGTTCTTCACTAGTGAGAACAACTATATTCCTGCTTCAGGGAGAACCTATGAACTGACAGTATGTGTTAGGCTGCCTAGAATTTTTTAGTTAGACATGACCATGAAATAAATGTGTCTTTTCCTGCTTGAAAAACATTCAAAGTGTGTGTTTACTCAGAAGCGGTCTAGTGAGTTACTTAATTCCACTTCAGCTCAGTAAATTCCTTAGCGTAATGTGTAATTCTAGATTACTACCACGAGATGGCAGCACATACACATCGTATTTCTTGCTGCCTAGGAAAATACTGAACGCTAAAGTTAACCTGTCATCCTGAAATTATTTTAAAGCCTAGCTAAACCTTTCAAATGAAAATCTTTTTTAAAAAAAGCAACCTCCACGCATATAGTGTGGTAGTCCTTTAAGAGGATGTAGAGAGAAGATGAAAGAATGCTCAGAGTATGTATCCCATACCCACTGAAAAAGAGGTCCTACCCGTCACCTTATAGAAGAGCTATTGCCAACATGCACCTGATAATGCATCTGTGCCTTAGTTTCCTAATTTCAAAATAGGGAAAATAATAGTATCTTCCTTGTGGAGTTGTTGTGAGGATAAAGAGAAACTGTGTACATGCTTATATCCTCATATGTTGTGTTAGCTATTAATTTTTACTATTTATATTTTTAAATGTTGTTGCCCAACACCCTACGAGTTTCTAATCACAACTCTCATTTATTTATTAAGAATATAGTATCAGACTTAGCATACAACAATCATAGAAGGTGTTATCACATTTAGCCTTTTCAACAAACTTTTGGTTGTGAATTATGGATCACATCTTGCAGATGAAAGAACTGAGATATTGTGAGATTAAGTAACATAGCCTAGGCAAAATTGGGAATGAGTGACTGGTGTTTTCTATCTTGGACTGATCTACTGGAAGTATCTCTTTAACTCATACTGTATGAGAAATAGAGGCTGCATCTGAATGCTATTGTGGAATTTTGAATTTATGAATTGAAGAACTAATGCAGTAAAGTGAAATTCTTGTCTTATTCTTGCTTCAATAATATTTAAGAATAATCTCATTGTTTAGATTTTTAGATTAGAAGTTGAAATATGCCGAGGCTTGAATTTTCAGAAAAAAACTTAATGGAACTTTATTATGGAAAGTTGAGTGAGATCGTATACGCTTAGTTTTTACTCTTCCACAGCAGAACTGGAGTGAAGATGCTGCACAAAGTGCCAAGTGTTGTCAAAACAGAAAACAGGGAGCAGCACTGGAACATACAGGTAAGTTTGCATCTCAATGGTTCACTTCTGGAGACAAAACTTCCAGGGGATTGTTAAGTAACCTGGAAAAACTAAAGAATCAAAGCTGTAATAATTTAATGGTTAAGAAATGCATTGATGGTAGGAAAATCAACCAGATACTTAGAAAGTTTTCACTCTATGCAGCTCTCAGCTGGGAATATATTTATCTTTCGGTAATGTGTGATAAACAGTCTACTGAGCTTTTTGACAGGTAGAGTTATAGACAGTGAGAGAGAGAGAGAGAGAGAGAGACAGAGAGAAAGGTCTTCCTTCTATTGGTTCACTCCCCAAATGGCAGTTACGGCCAGAACTACGCCCATCCAAAGCCAGAAGCCAGGAGCCAGGGGCTTCTTCCTGGTCTCTGATGCGGGTGCAGGGGCCCAAGCACTTGGGCCATCCTCCACTGCCTTCCTGGGCCACAGCAGAGAGCTGGACTGGAAGAGGAGCAACCAGGACAGAATCCGGTGCCCATATGGGATGCCAGCACCGCAGGCAGAGGATTAACCAAGTGAGTCACAACGCTGGCCCTCTGAGCTTCTTTTTTTAATAAAAGGATATATTTTTTACTTATTCGAAAGGCAGAGTTATGGAAAGAGAGGGAGAGACAGCGAGATAGGTCCTCCATTTGCTTGTTTACTCCCCAAATGGCCACAATGACGAGGGTGGGGCCAGGCTGAAGCCTGGAACCAGGAGCTTCTCCTGGGTCACTCGTGTGGTTTCAGGGGCCCAAGCACTTGGGTTATCCTCCCAGGCACATTAGCTCTCCCAGGCACATTAGCAGGGAGCTGGATTGGAAATGGAGCTGCTGGGTTTCAAACCGGCCTACATATGGGATGCCAGCTCTGCAGACCACAGCTTAACCTGCTATGTCACAATGTGGGACCCTCTACTGAGCTTTTATAGAGAAAGTTCATGGTTTCAAAACAAATGTATCTCATGACAATATGATGACCATATAAGTTAGGTTGTTTGCAGCTACTTTCCAGAAAAGCCATTAGTAATCCACTACAAATAGATATTAAAAACATTTAATGGGAGCCAGCACTGCAGTGCAGTGGGTTAAAGCTCCGGCCTGCAGTGCTGGCATCCCATATGGTCACTGGTTCAAGTCCCAGTTGCTCTACTTCCAATCCAGATCTCTGCGGTGGCCTGAGAAAGCAGTAAAAGATGGCCCAAGTCCTTGGGCCCCTGCACCCACATAGGAGAACTGGAGGAAGCTCCTGTCTCCTGGCTTCAGATTGGCTTAATTCCAGCCACTGCAGCCATTTGAGGGGTGAACCAGTAGAAAAAGACCTCTCTCTCTCTCTCTCTCTCTCTCTCTCTACCTCTCTCTGTAACTCTGTCTGTCAGATAAATAAAATAAACCTTAAAAAAAAAAACATGTAAAAGAATATTTTATTACAACGTAAGAAAAAGTGGTGATGGCACTTCCATATCTATGGACTATTGGCCATTTTAGACAGTGGTTATTGAATATAATTTTTGCAGACAATTGAAGAAAACTAAGTTGTTTTAGCTACCCCCAAAAACTTTTGAAATAAAGATTTTCCCCATACTGAATATTTTCAAGAAGGTAACTTGTTGAGTTTTTTATATAATATATTAATTCCAATTTTTCTCTATTTTTTTACCTGAAAAGAGAGAGACAAATGGAGAGCTCTTCCATCCTTTGGTTCATTTCCTGAATGTCTGCAACAACCAAGGATGGACAAGGTTGAGGCAAGAGACCAGGACTCAGTCCAAGTCTCTTATATGAGAAGCAGGAGCCCAGTCACTTGAGCAATCTTCCACTGTCTCCCAGAACATGCACCAGCCGGAGGCTGCATTGGATGTGGAATGGCTAGGGCTCGTTCTAGGCTCTCCAATGTAGGACTTGGGCATCGCAAGCAGTGACATAATTTGAGGCTGGACCAGATGCCCACCCATGTTTCTTTTCTCAAATTTTCATATATGAATTTCCCATTCTCCCATTTATCCACATTACTTATAACTAGCAAGTATAAGTAACTATTAAAAGATCATTAGACAGCAGCATTGGGTGCAGGAGCAAAGAAAATTGGGGTGGTGTTTTTTGTAATTGCAGATGAGCAACAGCAGGACCTGGGGCAGTTAACACAGCCAGCCTCTCCAGGTGGCTAAATGGCTAGCAGTACATTGAAAAGTGTAGGGGAAATAATGACTCTTATCTTCTGTAAATTGATCTGACCTTCCTCACTAGTCTCTTTGCTAAATAGTGGAGAAAACACTTTTGAAACAATAATAAAAAAGCAAAAACAAATTTAAACCCAATCTAGTAACTGTGGTCTAATGCGTTACTGTATTTTTTAAAAGATCCTCTTTGCAAATAGAATTTTTAAATAAAATATCATTCCTTGGATTTCCTCTCCATCTTATTTATTTGCACCATACTTAGCATTTTTATGTGCCATTTCTGGGGCACTTGGAGACTTCAGCAGTCCCAGCAACATACAAGCAGGGCATGGGTTCTAGAAAGTTGGTCTATCTGCCTAAAAGGAAGCATTGTAAGACCACTAACTCGGCTGGCGCCGTGGCTCACTAAGACCACTAACTCGGCTGGCGCCGTGGCTCACTAGGCTAATCCTCCGCCTGTGGCGCCGGCACACTGGGTTCTAGTCCCGGTTGGGGCGCCGGATTCTGTCCTGGTTGCTCCTCTTCCAGTCCAGCTCTCTGCTGTGGCCAGGGAGTGCAGTGGGGGATGGCCCAAGTGCTTGGGCCCTGCACCCCATGGAAGACCAGGAGGAAGCACCTGGCTCCTGGCTTCGGATCAGTGCAGTGAGCCGGCCACAATGCGCCTGCCATAGCAGCCACTTGGGGGGTGAACCAACGGAAAAAGGAAGACCTTTCTCTCTGTCTGTCTCTCTCTCTCTCTCTAACTCAATGCTGCTCTCAAAGTGTGGTGACTCCAACTTGTTTCATTAGAGAAGCATAAGAGTAGCCCCTATTTTCTAGTTAACCCCCTGCCTATCTGGAGGTTTCTAAAGCTCACTAGAATGAACAGTTAGGGCAGGAAACCCTGAGGTTTTATTTCCTCTTCTTTATCTTCTCACTACAATCCCTAATGAAAGGATGAGCTTACCTCAGGAGTTACCCAGATCAACACTGAATCACAGTAGAAACCCGGATGGCCCTAGTTATTGCACATTTATATTGCCTACTATAGAGAAGCATCTCTATGACATGAGCTGGGTACTATTGATGCTTTATGCATTAAAGGAAAGAAATGAATACACTTTTATGTGTTTTCCTAAGCTCTATCCATTTACTTATTGTAAATAATTGAGATATAAGTGGAGTGTTTTTGAAAGCAGAGCATCAGATACTGTGCAGAGGAAGGTGGGTGCCTTGGTGAGTGTACTTCCTGGATTCAATTTCTATACACTTTGGAGCGTCCTGCATTGGAAGACATGGCCACTCTATTGTCAGAACCCTACATGTGGGAAGTAGATAGAGGTGGAATTTTGGATGAATGTGGAACTGGAAAATTATAATCCTGGGAGACAAGGTGGGACTAGATCAATAAATTGGCAGTGCGGGTTTTTCAAAGAACAGGGAAAGTCAAATATCTTCTTTAAAAAAAGATTCATTTATACTTTGAAAGCAGAGTTACGGAGAAAGGAAGGAGACACAGCCAGAGATACAGAGACAGAGCCCTTCCATCTACCAGCTTACTCCCTGAATGGCCACAACCAACTGGGGCTGGGTCAGGCAGAAGCCAAGAATCTGAAACTCCATGCTGGTCTCCCACGTGCATAGCAGAAAATGAGCATGTGGACCATTTTCTGGTCCTTTTCCAAGCCACTAATAGGGAGCTGGATCACAAGTGGAGTGGAGCAGCTAGGACATCAACCAGTGATAGCATAGGATGCTAGTGTCACAGGCAGCCGCTTAACTTACTATGCCACAACGCTAGCCCCTAATTATCCTTTATATCCTCCACAAACGGATTTTAAAATTTTTAAAACCAAAACTACACCCAGAAACCCAATATATTAAAAAAATAGAATCCTGACAATAAAGAAAGAAAATGATGCTCTCTCATGTCAGCTTCATTTTCTGCGCCCGACTTCTGTTGTTTGCCAGGCCCTGTGCACATGGATGTGTGTCATCTGGACACAGGGAACATGCCTGTTTCCTGATAACCCATGCTGAAAGCATCCTAAAGACAGGTGTGTTTACTTTAATTATGTCTAGCAATATTGACCTTGTGTTTTTATGCAAACTATCAAATTTGTAATAAAGTCACCTTTTTATCTTTACAGATTGCTTGGACACTTCTTACCTCAGTGGTAGTTTTGTACCATGCACCAAAGAAAGTCATCTAAATATCTCTACTTTTGTTGAGTAGGCATTACAGATTCACTCAGAGCTTTTTGAAGTATATTCCCATAAAGAAACATAATCTTTTTCAGAATTCTAGAATGAAAGTCAAATATTACTTCATTGAGACAAGCATTATTGCCTTTAAAATGCCATTTAACCAATACCTGAAAAACTACACATGTTGTCTTTACATTATTATTACTAAGTATATCTGTACATCATTAGTAAAATGTCAAAATTCAGAAATATTTACCAGTATTCTTTTTTTTTTTTTTTTGACAGGCAGAGTGGACAGTGAAAGAGAGAGACAGAGAGAAAGGTCTTCCTTTGCCGTTGGTTCACCCTCCAATGGCCGCCACGGCCGGTGTGCTACGGCCGGCACACCGCGCTGATCCGATGGCAGGAGCCAGGTGCTTCTCCTGGTCTCCCATGGGGTGCAGGGCCCAAGCACTTGGGCCATCCTCCACTGCACTCCCTGGCCACAGCAGAGAGCTGGCCTGGAAGAGGGGCAACCGGGACAGAATCCGGCGCCCCGACTGGGACTAGAACCCGGTGTGCCGGCACCGCAAGGCAGAGGATTAGCCTAGTGAGCCGCGGCGCCGGACCCCAGTATTCTTTTTTTAATTAATTTATTTATTTGAAAGTCAGAGCTACACAGAGAGAGGAGAGGCAGAGAGAGAGAGAGAGAGAGAGAGAGAGAGGTCTCCCATCCACTGATTCACTCCCTAGTTAGCCGCAATGGCTGGAGCTGCACCGATCTGATGCCAGGAGCCAGGAGTTTCCTTCAGGTCTTCCCATGCAGGTACAGGGGCCCAAGCCCATGGGCCATTTTCTGCTGCTTTCCCAGGCCATAGCAAAGAGCTGGATCAGAAGTGGAGCAGCTGAGACTTGAACTGGTGTCCATATGGGATGCCGGCGCTGCAGGTGGCAGCTTTACCCACTATGCCACAGTGCCAGCCCCTACCAGTATTCTTGCCATGGATGTAGGTTCTTCAGGCTGATATATCAGGGAAACAAACTTGAACTAGCGTGAGAAGAGAAAACACATTGTTTATTTCAACGGCATAAGAGTATTTTTTAAGAACTTAATGACAGAAAGACAAGATTTAAGAAGGAAACAAACAAGGAAAGTTGTGGGTTTTTCTGTATTAACTTTGCAGTTAGTTAGTATATGTCTATCCTTAAAGTTAAGTTTTACTTTTTTGAATTTGAGGCATGAGTCACAATTCCTACAAAATATCAACTGGTTTCTTGGAGGAGGGGTAGATATACTCCTTTGTGCCATATCTGTGGTTACTGAGCAAGATCAGCTAAGGCGACGATGAACACATGGGCCATCCTGGGGCATCCATGATGGTTATCAGAAAAGGAAAGAAGTTTTCAGAGCTGCTCATAGCTCTCTGGTAATTAACTACAAAAACAAGTCTGACATCACTTCTGCTGATGAAAGTTGATGGCAAGAATGCACGTCTCCTTCAGCTGCATGTATTTTCTAGGTCAATACATTGGCCTTTCCTCCATGTTATAAAATTCAATCATGGTGTTCAATCACTGCCTCTCATATGTGTAGTATAATAAAATATGTTCAATATGAAACAATGGACATGATGTATCTGATAATGTACCACCATACCTTAAATAAAGATTATATCCTGAAGAGTCTCTTTACTCAGTAAATGATTTTTTTTTTACTTTTTTAAACTTTTATTTAATAAATATAAATTTCCAAAGTACAGCTTTTGGATTACAGTGACTCCCCCCCTATAACTTCCCTCCCACCCACAACCCTCCCCTGTCCCTCTCCCTCTCCCATCCCATTCACATCAAGATTCATTTTCAATTATTTTTATAAACAGAAGATCAATTTATTATATACTAAGTAAAGATTTCAACAGTTTGCACCCACACAGAAAATAAAGTGTAAAATACTGTTTGAGTACTAGTATACTGTTAATTCACATAGTACAACACATTAAGGACAGAGATCCTACATGAAGAGTAAGTGCACAGTGACTGCTGTTGTTGATTTAACAATTGACACTCTTGTTTACGGCATCAGTAATCACCCAAGGCTCTTGTCATGAGTTGCCAAGGCTATGGAAGCCTTTTGAGTTTGCCAACTTTGATCTTATTTAAACAAGGTCATAGTCAAAGTGGAGGTTCTCTCCTCCCTTCAGAGAAAGGCACCTCCTTCTTTGATGGCCCGTTCTTTCTACTGGGATCTCACTCGCAGAGATCTTTCCTTTAGTTGTTTTTTTGTTTGTTTGTTTGTTTGTTTGTTTTGCCAGAGTGTCTTGCCTTTCCATGCCTAAAATACTCTCACGGGCTTTTTAGCCAGATCCAAATGCCTTAAGGGCTGATTCTGAGGTCAGAGTGCTGTTTAGGGCATTTGCCATTCTATGAGTCTGCTGTGTATCTTGCTTCCCATGTTAGATTGTTCTCTCCTTTTTAATTCTTTCAGTTAGTATTAGCAGACACTAGTCTTGTTTAAGTGATTATTTGACTCTTAATCCTTTCAGATACTGTTGTCTAACTATGCTAATTTCTTTCAACTAGCCTCTACCCTAACACCAGTGAAATCCCTAATTACAACACTGCAACCTATGAGCTTGTATGCAATCACACAAAGTTGATATAATTTTGTAAATGTACTTGTCTCCTTTACTTAGATAAAATAACCTGGTGATTACTTGTTGTGTTATGAAGATGGAGATGCCGGCTAGATCATGTTTTACCTTATTTTGTTTCAGTAGCTCTTGATGAATTTCATTTGGTTTACCCTTACCCCAATCCAGATTTTTACTAATGAATAAGAGCTTCAGTTTACCACCCACTCCTGTCCTGATACAGCCTGAAGTAAATTGTTGTAATTTTTGCTAGTACTGAAGCTAAGTATCATGTTTAATATATTTTAATATTTAAATAATGTGATGTATAGTTTTCAGGCTAACAAAATTTAACTGAAGAGCATCTCTGAGCCCTTGTGTTAGCCTAGGTCAGACAGCTCGGATATAAGGGACAGAGCTGAGGCCAGAGTGAAGGCTTTCTTGCCTACTCTACTCAGAGCTAAGTCTTGCCTACCCATTGCCTCTCACTGGCTTTGTCAAAGCATGACATGTATGGATTGCTTGCAATTCTCTTTCTTCTCATATTTCACTTTATATTTCGAATCCGTATAAAACAAAATGCTTTGCCTATTTCCATCATATGTCACATTCCTTGTTAAGAAAGAGACTGGAACCTGTACTTCAAGGATGAACAAATGTGATAAATACATTAAATATCTCCCAATTATGAGAGACAAAGGAATATTCCCTGCCCCCTTCCTCAAGACCACAACCCTTTGAGCATAGAGTGTTTGTAGTCACAAAAGTACAATCACTCACAATGTGAGTATTCTCATGGCAGATACCAGAATCATTGTCGGGGAGGAGTGTCATGATTGGATGCATATGCTAAATTGCACTGTGTCATGAAAAGAGTATATGCATGTGAATTTGTGTGTGTGTATATATAATTATGTTATGGAACAAAAATAGTTAAGAGCATTCACAATAAGCATACTAAAGAGCAACACTGAAGGTTGTTTGGTTCACAGTGGAAAGTATATAGTCACAGAAATGGATCCAGTATATAGAGAAATTTGCAAGAACACCAAAACAAATGAGTTGGATTTGATACTATGGGTGAACATATCACATCCTTGGTTATCAATTACAGATGCAATGCAATAAAAGTCATGTTCCTCATAGATTAACATGGAGGCACATAAAATGGAATGATCCAAGATGGCTAGATTGATTACACCCACCTTAGTGGTCACTGTGAATTTTCAAAATATTCTCAGAGCCATCTCAGTTTCAGGTTTTCCTCGGCTTGGAAAAAGACAATTGTTTCTTCATTGCTAAGACAATAGTGGCTCCAGGACTCTTCTGGGACATTTTACCCCAAATACTTCTCATTAAAGGGAAGAAGTTGTACTTTGCCAATCGTAGGATCAGCTTGTAGTTTTCTGCATCTTTCTATGGGATGAAGCAGATAAAACCGCACAAAAATTTTGCATGTGTAAAGTCAATGGGCTAATGTGAACTTAGCCTTCCTTCCTCTCATATTCCAGAATTCAACCATATTCTACCACTTTAATGCACTCTTTCTGAAAGGTTATTTGAAAATATGGCCAGAAGATGGCACAATATGTACACAGCATCTATGAAGGCTTCTGAGGAAAATAGTCACAACTATTCTTTTACTTAATCTAAATGTTGTCCTATCAAAAATTTATGTCATTTACTTTAGTTCTTCTGATGTATGTGAAAGTTCTACATTTGTTGGTTAACTGATGTAGATAAGATCTTCTTTAAGTAGAAAAATTGACTAAAATTACAGAAAAGATGATATTAGTAGAGGGTTTCTCAAAAGCATGTGTATTTTAAATAAAGCTCCATAATCTCAGAAAAAGCACTGAAATTAGTTCTCAGGTACAAATCTCTACTGCATTTAGTTTTCTGATCTGAAATTATGCCTCAGGGAAATCACTATTTCAAATAACTGCCTTCATGTGCATAGTTTTCTGTAGAGTGCTTAGAATGCACTATGTAATTTTTATTATATTGCTTCACCTATACAATTGATATGGGATTCATTATCCCTGTTTTATGTATGAGGGCATCTAAGCTCAGCAATTTTAAATGACTTTCTTATGATCACACAAAAAGAAATGGATCTTTAACAGATCTTTCATAAAGGGTACCGCCTTCCAAAGTGCAGATGCAATTAAATTTTGTGCCACTAGAGGATGCACTAACAAGAAATTATGTAAAGATTCTGGGGCATACACTTGGTTCTAATACTATATTGAATAAAAGTTGTGAAAGGGGCCTGCCTCTACTAAGTAGCAGATAAAGCTGCCTGTGATGCCAGCATTCCATATGGATGCCTGTTTGAGACCCAGCTGCTCCACTTCCAATGCAGCTCCCTGATAACGTGCCTGGAAATGCAGCAGAAGATGGTCCACATGTTTGGGATCCCTGCACCCATGTGGGAGCCCCAGCTGCTGGTTTCCATCTTGCCCACCTCAGGCCAATGTGGATATTTGGGAGTGGATCGGCTAACAAAAGAGCTCTCTCTGTGTCTCTTCCTCTCTCTCTGTAACTCTGACTTTCAAATAAATAAATAAATCTGCAAAGAAAAAAAAAAGAGTGGTGAAAGTAGACATTGCTGATCTTGTTCTGTACCTGAGGGGAAAGACTTGCATTTCCTCATTTAGTATGAAATTTCCTGTGGGTTTTTTGTAGGTTGCCTTTATTATTCTGAAGTATGTTACTTGATCCCTAATTTATTGAGAGTTTTCATAATGAAGAGATTTTAAATCTTATAAAATGTTTTATCTTTATCTATTAAGATGATATAGTTTTTGTTCTTTTATGTGTGGATTTGATTTATTATATTTATTTTTATATTTATTTATATATTAATATACATAATCAATATACTATATATTATATAAATAATATATTATATATCATATATTAATATATCAACTAATAATAAATATTTTGTATATTAATATAATTAACATAATATATATTATATTTATTTTTGTGAGTATTGGATAATCCTCGCATTACTGAGATAAATACAACTAGATCATGTTGTATGCTCTTTTTGGTGTACTGTTGGATTCAGTTTGTTAGTATTTTGTTGAGAGTTTTTGCATCTAATTCCTTCAAAGATAGTGGTCTGTAGTTCTCTTTTTGTGTTCTGTCTTTGCTACATACTTTTTTTATTTTTATTTTTTTATTTTTTGATGGGCAGAGTGGACAGTAAGAGAGAGAGACAGAGAGAAAGGTCTTCCTTTGCCGTTGGTTCACCCTCCAAGGGCCGCCGCAGCCGGCGCGCTGCGGCCTGCACACCGCGCTGACCCGATGGCAGGAGCCAGGTAGACTTATCCTGGTCTCCCATGGGGTGCAGGGCCCAAGCACGTGGGCCATCCTCCACTGCACTCCCTGGCCACAGCAGAGAGCTGGCTGGAAGAGGGGCAACCGGGACAGAAATCGGCACCCTGACCGAGACTAGAACCTGGTGTGCCGGCACCGCAAGGTGGAGGATTAGCCTATTGAGCTGCGGCGCCGGCTGTTACATACTTCTAAAACTTAACAACACATTGAGCTATTCTCAAGTTTGTGGTTGTAGAATATTAACTGGCATCTGATAGATAGTTTGGAGAACTTGTCCCCAGGTGAGGAGTCTATTTCAGTCCAGAGACCAGAGTATGGGGTCCCACCCTCAGCACCACTCTTTTTGTCTGATGCTTTCTGGACAATACATCCTTGTGTGTACCTAACTATAATTTTCTAGTTGACATTATAATAGAATAAGTCTCATTTGTTCACACTTCAAATTCATTACCCCACTGAACTGTCACAATTCTTCCTGAAATTCTCTGCTTCCCTCAAACATACTTTTAAAAATCACTTGCATTTTAGTCTTAATTTTCCCATCACTTTATTTATTTTGTTCTTATTTCCTTTGTCTCTTTCCTTGCCTTCCTCTGTGTTGTTTGAACTTCTTTTTAGTTTTCAACTTTAGTTTTATTTTATTTTAAAACAAATTGGGCTATTAGGATAGCATAGAAAATACAATTTTGGGGAACAAAATGGAAATAATAG